CCTTGTGAGGTTGTCACAGCCATGAGATCTTGCAAGGGCTCTAATGTTGCCTGGTAACTCTTCCTCATGACCTAGGCACAGCGCAGGAATATGGTGGCATCATCCGACATGGCGCCAAGCTGCTCTATGCGTTTGCTGAGGCAACTGTGCCCAAAATCACAGTCATCACCAGGAAGGTGAGGCCCTCCTCTTAGAGTCTGTCCCCTGGGAGCATGACCATTCATGCTCCCAGCAACATGGCTGAGGTAGCCTGCCGAGAGATGACCTGCTCTGGAAGGGGGCATGCCTCTTGCTCACTCCTGTGAAATGTCTGGAGGGCTCTTTCTGGCTCACACATGTTGCAGGGGTGTCCATGGTCTCCCAGAAGCAGGGAAAGCCAACAGCAGCAGGTGGTGAAGACTATGATGAGTCTTCTAGACCTTGGCTTGAGGGCCAGTGGGCATGCCTCATCTCCCTTGGCTTTCTGAAGTGTTTAGGGACATGATTTGCTTGTCTCTGCCATCGACACTCAGCATTTGGTTTGTTCTAGGCCTATGGAGGTGCCTATGACGTCATGAGCTCCAAACATCTTCTTGGTGACACCAACTATGCCTGGCCCACAGCCGAGATTGCAGTCATGGGCGCAAAGGTAAAGACATCTAACGGAACTTTCCTGTGCCCAGGAACTCTTTTGATAGCGTCCTTGTGTGACTGGGAATGTAGAAAGAGGCCAGATCATGACTGAAAGGAACAGGGTCTAAAGCCTGGAAAGTCCCCTTCCTAGGCAGTCCTCCCTGTCTTCCCAAAGGCAGGCACATTGATTGGCATCTTCATGGCAGAGGAAAGGATGGCTTTGGGTAGGATCCCTGGAGAGAGAAGAGTCAGCTGAATTTACCGTTGGGACAGAGTTTGTCACTACCTCATCTCATCTCTTGGGGTACTCAGAGCCACCTCTTTCTGCCCACTGGAAACTAAAGTTCTGTCTTTGGTGGCTTTGAGAGCTATCAGGGTTGAGCCAGGTGACTCTTCAGGGTTCTAGAGTGTACTCCCTGGTCATTGTCTTAGTTTGGGTTTTATTGCTGTGAAGAGACACTATGACCATGGCAACTCTCCTAAGGGAAAGCATCTGATCGGATTGACTTACAGTTTCAGAGGTTTAGTCTGTTACCATCATATGACCGTGTGCGCAGACATGGTGCTGGAGAAGGAGCTGAGACTTCCACACCTTGATCTGCAGGCAGCAGAAGCGACTGTGAGCTACACTGGGCGTGGCTGGAGCAAAGGAGACCTTAAAGCCTGTCATCCGTGTTGTGTCATGCCCCCCTTCCTCCAAGGCCACACCTCCTAATAGTGCACTCCTTATGACCCATGAGTCTGTGGGGTCCATTCCCATTCACACCACCACTGGCAGAGTGTTGTATGCCCAGGGCTTGGTAGTGAAGGAGAAAACAGCACTTGGCGGGAAGCGGACTAAATGTCCTGGCTTCAGAGAACAGTGGGTAAGGAGAGCAGAGGGAGAGTGGGATGGACTGGATGCTAGGCAGCCCTGTGCATGGATGTCTCTTTGCTCTGATTGGCTGGGAGGTTCACAGCCACAGAGTGACAACTGATGGCTGTCTGGGTTGAGACACCACTCTGGGGAAACCTTAACTCTTCTCACAGGGTGCTGTGGAGATCATCTTCAAAGGGCACCAAGACGTGGAAGCCGCCCAGGCGGAGTATGTGGAGAAGTTCGCCAACCCTTTCCCTGCAGCCGTGAGAGGTAGGGCCTGGTGGAGGCAGGTGCCGCTCATTCGCCCAGTCGTTTGCTTGTTCTTTCTAGAAAGTCTGAAGTCGCCTTTCACCTTTGCGATCGCCTCTGTTGCCTGGGGAGTGATGGGGCTGCCCCCGGCAGGGTCTGGGACTGCACAGTGGACCTGAGCAGGATGTTGACAGGGTTCTGTTTCTAGGGGATGGTCTAGTCCACCCTAGACCTGGTGGCTAAAACCCTCTCTTCCCCTCACTAGCTGGGGGGTTCTTTGGGTTCTGCTGGGGCTGTTCTCACTGTAGTCTGCCACTGGCTTGACAGTCCAAGCTGGCCTTTCTTTTAAGGTAATGTCGGCTGCTTGCTGGTCCTTCTTCATTTCTCTAGAACAATTGGGCTTTTGTTCTTGGTGTCCCAAGAGTAGCTGAAAATGAAGGGTGCTTAGGCCCTGAGGTCTAGGTTTTGGAAGCCCCATTTCACGTTCGTCACATTGTATTGATAAAAGCAAGTCACAGGGGCTGGGAAGAAAACTCTCTCCATGGAGGAAACAAAATTTTACTGTACGAGGACCCATGGACAGGGAGGAGAAGTTGTTGTATGTGCTTTCTTTCTTTTTAAAGTTTTATCATTTACTTGTCTATGCGTATGTATGGGTGTGTGTGTGTGTGTGTGTGTGTGTGTGTGTGTGTGTGTGTGTGTGTGTGTACGCACATGCCTACCAAGGCCAAAAGAGGGCATCAGGTCCCTTAGGGAGGTACAGGCAGTTTCAGATGGCCTGAAGTAGGTTTAGTGATCCCAGCCTGGTTCCTCTGAAAGAGCAGCAGTGCTCTCCTCTCAACTGCTGAGTCATTGCTCCAGCCCCATGAATACTTTCTTAATTTCATTTCCTGCTGAGCCCATCCTGGCAGGGTAGAGGCCCTGGATCGAGGCAGGAGGGAGAGGCCACATATTTTTATCTGGCCTAGTGCTCCTATGCCAAAACTTGGGAACCTGGAAGAGCGGGAAGCCTTGGGTCCAACTAGGGTTTGTGGGCCTGACATCTCTCTGCCAGGTCAGGTGCTGGCCACACTGTTGGTCTGTGGGGCTGAGAGTGTGGCCAGGGTAGGTGACAACTTCAGCCACCCACATACTGACCTCCTTTTCTTTGATGTTCCAGGGTTTGTGGATGACATCATCCAGCCATCCTCTACGCGTGCTCGGATATGTTCTGACCTGGACGTCTTGGCCAGCAAGAAGGTCCATCGTCCTTGGAGGAAACACGCAAACATCCCATTGTGAATGATTCAAGGGAAATAGACCAAGAATTAGACAGTCGACTGTTTGTAGCCACCCCTGCCTTTATAATCATGAAATGTGGTATCTAATACCTTGGAAGTTGATGGCATTTCAGAAAGAGTTCTTGTGCCTGGTGTAAAATTATTTGCTGTATTAAAATCTTTGTTGGTATTATTTTGAGTAAATATTTCATTTTTATAGTAAAAATCTCAATCAAAACAAGAAAACCATAAGAAAAAAAAGATAGAATTCTAGTATTGTTGCCTGGAGCTGGCCCTGGTTAGCAATAATGTGGCTCACGTGGCCCTCACAGGTCAACATGTTGGGGCTTGGTCTCCTGCGTGTGATCGTGAGAGGTGAGACACAGCGCGGTGCTGAGGCCAGGTTGGCCATGCTTGGTTCTCATGAAGGTGTTCTCAGTTCTCGCCTTTCCCTAGCTGCCTGCTGGCTCTGTGATCTCCACACACACATGCGCACACACATGCACACACACATACACACACATGCGCACACACACATGCACACACATACATGCACACACACGCACACACATGCACACACGCACACACATGTGCACGCGCACGCACACACACATGTGCACACACACATGCACACACACATGTGCACACACATGCACACACACATGCACACACACATGCACACACACTCATGCACACACACTCACGCACACTCTTGTGCAGGCCCCGTCATGTGATGCAGCCGGGATGGTTCTCACCAGAACTTCCACACAGTAGTGCCTTGCCATCGGATCTCAGAGCTATGAGCTAACTAAACCACTTTAAAAAGTTAGCCTGTCGGGCTGGACCAATAGCCTCTGAAACAATACAGAGAAACCCTGTCTCGTAAAAACCAAAAAAAAAAAAAAAAAAAAGTTAGCCTGTGCTACGAGATCCACAAAGATAAACACATATATGCATATATGACTCATGGACACAGGACCAGTTGCCAAGTCCTTCCGTTCTGCCGCAAGGGAGCTGGAAACCAACCATACACTGCTTCATGCCACCTGACCCAGTCGTCACAACCTAAGAGAGCATGGGACCTTTGTCTCTCTCCTTGTAAGTGATCAAGTCCACAGACAAGAAGCCATAACCCTAAGGCCGGTACCCCAGAGCTACTGGTGGAATGAATTCCCACAATAAGCCTGCCTTCAGTGTTTTGTTTTAGTAATAAAAAACAGACTAATAGTACCTGTGTATCCTTGCCCAAGGAACTAATTCTTATCCCTAGGTAAGATAATATGGTTTTAGAGCAATTGAGTTTATATGCCTCAGTTTCTTTACTGTTAATTGGGAATGTTAGAGCAAGCCCTCGTTTGCTATGAATTGTTGATGGTTACCTGAGATGTCTGCAGTTCTAGTTTGTCTAGCAGAGTAGATTCTCACTAAGATGCAGTATTCAGTATTGACTATTGCGATTTCCAGACCACATAGGTGTTTCTATGTTTCCAAATACTATTATGAAAATGGTTGAGCCTGTATCGTGTGCCTGGCACTGAGTCTCCAGTAGTTAATGTTGAGCATACTCCCATGTTGTGTTATGTGTCTTAAATGACTGTCATGGCTCTTGTGTGTGGTCAGAGGACACCTTGGCAGGAATTGGTTCTCTCCTTCCACCATGTGGGTCTGAGGATCAAACTCAGACGATCAGTTCCCTTCTGTGGTGATATCTTGTTTGTATAACAAATAAAGCTTGCCTGAAGATCAAAGGGCAGAGCTAGTCACTAGCTAACCAAAGTCATTTTGAGGTCTGTACAGACAGACAGGAAGTGATAAGGCAGGAGACAGGAGTGTGATAGAATATTATTTTACGGTGTGTGACTTGTTTATGCTGCATTTGTTTAACTCTGTGAAGCTGTGTCACTGTGCCTGCTTAAACACCCGGGGGTCCTAATAAAGAACTGAATGGCCAATAGCGAGGCAGGAACAAGGACAGGCGGGGCTGGTAGGCAGAGAGGATAAATAGGAGGAGAAAAACGAGGAAGAGGAGGAGCAAGGAGAGACCCAGGAGCCGAGGGGGTCAGCCAGCCATGGAGTAAGAAGGAAAGTAAGATACACAGAAGTAAGGAAGGTAAAATCCCAGAGGGAAAGGTAGATGTGCTAATTTAAGATAAGAAAATCTTGCTGGAAACGAGTCAAGGCCAGGCGCTCATAACTAAGAATAAGCCTGTGTGTGATTTACTTGGGAACTGGGTGGCGGCCCCACAAAAGACCTAGAAAAGTCCAAAAGGAAAAGAGTAAAACACTGAACAACACAGGAGCTCAGTCTCTTCGGCTGGGAAGTTGAGTAGGTTAGGAGGCTGTGGTTTTGCTCCTTCTCTGATCTCCCGGCGTTTTCCCCTATATCTGACTCCGGGCTTTCATCATGAAGACCAATTAGAACTGGTGTTTACACCCTTTACCTAAGCAGTCCCTCAATCTGGATTTGTCTGGAAGTTTCCTTATGTTTACTTTGAGGTAAGAGTAACAGCTGTCCCTTTGCGTCAGTGCTACGTCAGGAGCGCCTGAGGTTATTGGTCATAGATCATGCTCCTTGAAGGTGACCATTTTCCCAGCGTGGTTATTTCGGGGGAGTGGGGCATTGGGCCCTGCCTGCCAGCAAACTTTCTGCTCATTGCTGGAGCTCGCTCAGTCACTGAGCTGCTTGGCGGATGTGGAGAGTCTGGTGCGTCTTCGTTCTCGATTATTGGACAGGTCTCCTCTTTTGCCATGTTGTACTGTGCCGCAGGACCATGGACTGAAGCCAGAAGCTAAAATAATTTTAGAAAATAGTCTTATCCTGTGTGGGTTCACACGTGTATGGGAACCATGGCACATGTGTGGCGGTCAGAGGGCAACTGGTGGAATCTTGGGTTGTGGAACTTTACACTGTGTGAATACATGTCACTGCGTTGGTTTAATAAACAAGCTGACTGGCCAATAGCTGAACGGAATAAGGTTAAGTGGGAGAGACAAACTGAGAATGCTGGGAAGGAGAAGGCGAGGTCCAGGGTCGTCAGCAGAAAGAGCCAAGGTGGGCATGCCGTGTTGTGAAAAGGTCCCAAGCCACATGGCCGAGCATAGATGAGAAATGGGGGTTAACTTAAATATATGAGTTAGTAACAAACTTGCGCTGTTGGCTGAACATTTATAATTTATATTGTCTCTGTGTCGGTAATTTGGGAACTGGCAGGTGGGAAAGAAACTTCTGCCAACATTGGGGATTGAATTTTGGTCCCCAGGCGTGGAAGCAAGCACCTTTACCTGCAAGCCCAAGATACACTTTGAAGAAGTTGATTACTGGGAGGCTGGAGAAATGGTTCAGTGATTAAGAGCAAGTCCCGCCCTTGCAGAGGACCCGCGTCTGGCGGCCCACATGTGACTCGTTTGTGTAGGGTCGGGTTGAAGTCCTGTAAGAAATTCCTATGTGTGTGGTATGAAGCCAGAGCAGCGGTGGAGACCCAGCACGTCAGATGCCAGGAATATGGGCTGCCTCCTGTGAGGGGCATGTCGGGTAGTAAGCCCAGCTCCCCCAAAGAATGGCTGTGTGGACGGACTGCATCCAGGAGGCTCACAGGTGAGGGACACGCATGCCCTCTGCATACGTCATACATCACCTTGTGCTTTTGGATGTTAGACATGGACTTGCAGGATCTACTTCGTCAGCTGGTTTGCTTTTGTTTTGGGGCTCTTTTGTTTGTTCGGTTTGGCTTGTTGTTGGATTTTTGGAGACAGGGTTTCTCTGTGTAACAGTCCCGGCTGTCATTACTGGAGATCCACCATGGAGGGCCTCGCCCTCCTTGGGGATTGGACTGGAGATTGGGTGGGGGACTGGGGGACCTGGTGGGGAGGAGGGGGAGGGAGAGAGAGCTGGGATTGACATGTGAAACAAGATTGTTACTAACATAAAAAAAAAAAACCCTAAAAAAAAAAAGGCCCGGTTGTCCTGGCACTCACTCTGTAGACCAGGCTGGTCTCAAACTCAGGAGGCAGGAGTTTCTCTGCCTCCTGAGTGCTGGGGTTAAAGGTGTACAAACCATCTTTGTACCACAGTATCTTTGAAATGTGTAACTTGCTTTTGATTCTCACTGCAGCTTACAAATGAATTTGCCTGGTGTGTCAAAGAAAACATTTGAACTTTTGAGCAACATTGGACCAGCTAAAGATTTGGACGATCTAAAAATGCATTTTGCATTATGAAATGGACATGAGCCTTTGGGGGGGGCTGTAGCTGTAAAAATAAACGGCATACTTGTTGAGGGTATAGGCAACTGTTTATTGTAGAAATTACTGACAAGAGAATATGGGCCACCAAGGTGAGTCGGTAGCTTTCCACCACAAAACTGGAAGCCGAAAAGAGAGAGTGTAGCTCTCATTTACGGGCTTTTATTAGCATCTCCATACTCGCCTCTAGCCACGCCTAAAGTGGGTGTGGCTAGCAGTGTAGTTCACCGCCCTTTCTTTACCACATCCATATGGGCCTCTAGCGTGCTGCGTGGCTAGCGGGGCAGTCCTAAAGTCTCCTCCTACAGGGGGCCAGAGAGGGATGCTATGTTTGGATTGGTGACCTCCAAAGCTTTGTAGAGCTGGTCCCCGGTCTGGTGCTGTTAGTTAGAACTTGTGAGAGGTGGAACCTAGCAGAGGACATTACCCTGAGGAGTGTGCCCTGGAAGGGATCTTAGGATCCCAGCACCTCACTGTGCTTCCCACGGAGTTCTCAGACTTCCCCCATCACTTCTGCCGTGATATGATTTGCTGACGTTGCTCAGAGCAAGAAGGCCTTGTTCCCACAGGACAGAGTCGCTGAACAGTATGCCCTTCTTACTCCCAAATTGGTGCTCTGAGGTATTTTTTCACAGTCATGGAAAAGGTAGCACAGTGGTTCTGTTCCCAGCATGAACCACATGGCTTGGGCACCTAGAACCCCGGCTAGGGGCAGTGAAGGAAGGGACCAAGAACAGACAACATAGACGCATGTTTCCCTGGAACCCTGCCAGTTTCCATGGGTCAGTTGGAACTGGAGTCCTGGACAGGACAGACCCGTGTCAAAATGCACATTCACTCAGGACTTTATTCACTCAGAGCCTCTCCTCCTCACAAGGTTGTTCTCTTATGATGTGAAATGACGTTTTATACTCTCTAGATCACCTTTCTCTTCCATTATCATCCTACTTGGGTGTCCTTCTGTAATAGCCTGTTGGTATCCATGACATTAAAAACTATTCTTTTGTGTATTTGCATGTGTGTGTGCTCATGTGAACACAGGCGTACATGTGTGACAGTCTGCATGCAGCAGTCAGAAGATAATCTTGGTGTCATTCCTTAACTTTTTCACATCTATTTTGTGTGTGTGCCTGTGCATATACAATGTACATACATACATACATATGTACGTACGTGCGCACATGCAGTTCAGAAGATGACCTGAAGGAGTTTTTCTCTTCCTCTCTGTGGTCCCAGGGGTTACCGGGGTTGCCAGGGTTTGCAGCAGGTGCTTTTGTCCACTGGGCCATCTTCCCAGTCTCAATATCACTATTCTTTATAGAGGAATACTACATTCTGTTGTGTGTATATGTACGTATTTTGTTTCTCTATTTGTGTGGATGATGGGTGCCTAAGTTTCTCCTGTCCCCTAGCTGTTGTCAATGTGTAGTAGATGTGAGTGTGCAGATTCTCTGAGGTAAGTGGGGAGTCTCTCATGGATATGCCTAGGAGTGATATGGCTGGCTCTTACTGTTGCTCTGGTTTCAGTTTTGTGAGGAGCCTCCATACTGTAAGAAACAATCAAATATGAATCTTTTCTGTAAAATACCATGACTCTTGTGATGGGGGAAGTCCTGTGTATTTGTCAATAAAGCACTGCTGGCAATAGGGAACCAAGATAGGTGGGACTAGGAGTCCAGGAGGACTCTGGGAAGGAGAAACACAGGAAGTCAAGATGTAACCGCCATGGGGTAGGAAGCCCGGAAATTTCTCCGGTAAGAGAAATACTTAGATTAACAATTATGGGATAAATACTTAAGTCAGAGCTAGCCAGTAAGAAACAAGCAAGGCCAACGGCTTCATAATTAATATAGCCTCCTGTGTGTTTATTTGGGACTGATACGGCTCTGGACCCAGGCTGGCAGGAAGGCTTCTCTCAAGGAAGGCTTCTCTTTACACTCTTGTGTTTAGGGATTCAAATCTTTTCATTTCTCCCACCTCATGAAACTTTTATGCAAATGTTTTAAACTCTCCCACCCAGTAAAATCTTTGTTTACACGAAGGCTCACTACTGTATTCCAGGAATTTGATGACTTGGAGCAGTGACCCCTTCTTCTTTCATTTCCTGTGTGTTAATTCCTTCCAGACTAGCCAGAATGAAGACTGTGAACTTGGACTTCAACCAGAGGGGAAAAGACAGTCACTATCTGAGTTAGAATAAAAACCAAATGCATTTCCTGTCTCAGAGTGTTTGGTCTTCTAAGCACACCCTCTTGATCAAGAGTAAAACTTGCCTTGCCCAGACACTTTAGTAGAAATGGTGATGTCTTCCTTTGTAACCCTGAATTTATTCTAACAATTTAGGGGCTCATTTGGGATCCTAGCTCATCAGAGGGAGGGCTTCAGACCCCCACCCCCTTCTGGGAGACATGTGTCATCAGCTCTTATTTTGGTGGTTCTTGAGTGCTGGGCTCTATCAGCAAAAGACCCCAGGGATTGGAAGTCTGCACAAAGCAGGAAGAACTGACCCAAGGAAATTACCATGACAACTAGGATTTCTCTGTGCACAGATCAAAGGTAAGAGATGTTGGAGACAACAGCAAAGTATTCCTTTGGTGGTTGGGTCATCCTAAGGTGTTGACATGAAACTCAGTGCAAGAAAATTCCACAAAGGGCTACTGAGCACAAAACAAACCAAGACGGAAAAAATAACATGGGTACAGAGAACTTGAAAGGAACCAAAAGAAGGAAACATTTCCCTCACACAGAGGAAAACCAATTTCTCTAGCTGGCCCACAGATCTCTTAGCTTGTTCAATATAACTGTCCCTGATCTACTTAAGGAGAGATTGAACAAAAAAAGGCCAATCTTAAGTTTAAGCCCCTGTCTTCCCTCTGTGGTCATAGGATTCTCCTGTCTTTCTCTCTCTACCCAGGCCCCTCAGGTCCTAGAACACCTTGGATCAGGTCTGGTAGAAGAGATGAAGCCAATCTCTTTGTGTGGCTAAATCTAACTGACTTAAATTATGCCATCTGGCAGCTGTTTTTCTTTTCTTTTTTGGGGGAGGTGGGGGGGAGGTTGAGACAGGGTTTCTCTGTGGCTTTGGAGGCTTTCTTGGAACTAGCTCTTGTAGACCAGGCTGGTTGGCGGCTATTTTTCTAGATGGATAAAAGTGCCACACAAGGTCAGGTGGGGGTAGCATGCACCTTTAATTCCAGCACTTGGGAGTCAGAGGCAAAGCAGAGTTCTGAGTTCAAGGCCAGTCTGATCTAAGTAGCAAGTTCCAGGACAGCCAGAGCTGCACAGAGAAACCTTGCCTGAATACTCCCTCCCCCCCCAAATGCCACACAAGACTACTAAGGTTTTAAATTAGGATTAAGTATTTTGACAAATTGGTTTTCAAAGGTCTTAAGTTCTAGCCAATAATGAACATCACAGACTGTCTGATCTCAGTTTACACAGTGCCTGAGATAAAATGGTGCTAAGCAGTATCTTGTTTCCTGGGGGTTGATGGGTGGTTAAAACAAGATCCAGATAAGTGTTTGGCATCTAAACTTATAGTTTGTGTGGTAAGATATGTGGACTCTACTTTCTTGTGGTGAAACTATGGAGTTCCTTCCTGTTTCTGTGCCAATTGGGGCTACTAGGTCACAGATCATCTCTTCCTTTATCCATGCTAACCTAACTGTGCTTATATGTGTCCACATTTAGCCTGTTGTATGTGGATCTCTCAGGGACTTGTGTCATGATGGAGAATGGGCTCATTTTACCATGGAAGGTGAGCAAATGAGAAAGTAACCATGTGGTTTGTCACCATCTTGTCTAGTGGCATCATAATGATGTGAATTGAATGCTCTATAACTTTGCCACCACCTTATTTAATTCCACATGTGATAAAAAAAAACAAACAAAAAACCATGATACTCATGAACTCCCTGGTGCCACTGAGCCCTCAGGGAGTTACCCCTTTTATACTAAGGAAGGTAACATCAAACCTCTATGGTATTTTTGTTTGTTTTTTGTTTTGTTGGGGTTTGTTTTGTTTTGCTTTAGTGTTAACATTTGCTTTACATGATATATTTACTGGTTTCTAGACGGAACGCAAGAGATTCCTTAGCAATGTGTCTCTAGAACTAGCCAGGTGTCACAGGAAGCTGACACTTTGAAATGGATAGACTTGGAAGGCTTCTGTGGCTTTGTAGCAGTCTAGAGCCAAGTCTTGGGAAAGCACAGATCCCAAAGAGAACACAAAGAATAGATTGTTAGGTGCCAGACATGATGCTGTCAGTGTGCAGCGTAAGCCAGGGCAGGGCACAGTGAAACCGCAGAACCAGAATGCTCCGTGAGTAGAAAGAAAGGCTTATTGGAGGTCAAACTCTTGTTATGGCTGCCTCTTGGGGGGCAGAGAGAAGAGCAATATGGCTGGGAAAGCAAGCAGATCTTCTATGACAGCCAGCAGGGTGGGGGGCTTTGAGCTAGAGGCCCTGTCTGAGGTAGCTGACCTTTGGGGTGAATTAAGGGAGGTTTCTGTTTTCAGAAACCAACCTTTAGGCCTCTGTTTACCCAATAATAACCCTGTTTTCCGGGCCAAAGTCTTTTAAGACATTGTCACTAGCACTGTCATTTTGGGGTGCCGCTTTGACCCTAACAGGTAGCTACAGCGTCTGGAGTCAAAGAGGAATTGGTCTGCTTAGGCAAGAGGCTGGATTGCAGGCTAGGATGGGTCTTAAGGCCTGCTTTTTATATTCATACTATGGCTTTTCTAACCCAGGCAGTCCAATCGATAGTGGTTGTCATCCCCACCCCCTGCCCTCCACACACAGTAAACCCTTTGGACACACAAAGGCCCACTGCTGTATTCTTGGAATATGATGGCCCTTCTATGAGAAGCAGTGACTCCTCCCCCTTTTCCTCCCTCCTCCATTTCCTGTGTGCCAGTTCTTTTCAGACTGGCCAGTTGAGACTGTGAGGCTGGGCCCAACCAATGGGGAAGAGACAGTCACCAGCGGAGGTAGAATAAAAGCCAATGCACTTTTTAATCTCCCTTGTTCACACCCTT